CCACCCCACGGCTCACCTCACCACCCCACGGCTCACCTCACCACCCCACGGCTCACTCACCACTCCATGTGGGCTATGTTGCACCGGGGGAATATCCTCTCCCTCCCACTCTGTGTGGGCTATCCCATTCACTCTTACATTGCATGGGACACCCCACCCGGCCTTGGCTCGGTTAACCAGTTTCTTAGCACCCCCCAGCAGCACACCCGCTCAGTTCTGCAGGGGTTTCTGCCCCCGACTCCCTGGCTCCCACCCTCGTCCAGACAGAGGCCCACTCACCCCCCCAAGACTTCATGCCGACGCACTGCGTAAACCGCCGCGACGGGGGTCTCCTTGGCACTCACCACCCGGTGTTCGAAGGGGGCTGGCGGAGCCGGACTGTCGTCTGTCAGGAAGGAACAAGGGACTGTGAGCCTCCAACGCGCAGCCCGCACCTCACAGCCACCCATCCCAGGCCCACTTAACCGCGCTGGTTCACCGGGTGACAAGCCCTTTGCCCCTCCTACCAGCCCCTGGTATTCTGCAAGCCCCCTTCTCAAGAATCGTCTCATTAGAGCACCCATTTGGCAGAGGAGGAAGCTGAGTCTCAGAGAGGCGAGGTGACTAGCTTAAGGTCACACAGCGAGCCAATGACACATGGGGCTCAAACCCAAGTCTCCCGGCTCCTAGGACAGGGAGGGCTCTTTGCAGTTAATCACGGCAAGGCTGCTGTTGCCTCCTGTCTGCTCGCTGAAGTCTAGCGGGGAATCTGGGACGGGCCAGTGCGGGCCTGCAGGAAGCAGACGTCGTTGCCGCTGTCAGGTGCTGTCGAGTCGGTTCCGACTCATAGCGACCCTCTGTTCAACAGGATGAGACCCTGCCCGGTCCTGCACCCTCCTCCTCATCACTGCTATGTTTGAGCCCATTGTGCAGCCACTGGGTCAGTCCATCTCGCTGCGGGTCTTCCTCTTTTTTCCGACCCTCCACAGAGGTAGCTGAGGAGATCCGAGTGGCGGGACAGTTTTTAAAGGCAGAGTTATGGAGACCAGCATGGGTGGTGTGACAGGGAAGCAGCTGGAGAAACAAATACCCACCCCACCCCCACCCCACCCCCAGCCCGGCCTCGGATCTCCTGACAGCTGATCCCAGCCAGAAGCCAGAGAGCAAGAGAGCTCGCAGCTGCAGCCCACAGGGGCTCAGCTTCCGGGCACAGGACAGGGGAGAGCTGTGGCCAGGGGATCTGAAGGGGAGATGGGCAACAGCCAGCACTTGAAAAGGTTTTAGGGTTTGTTTTTAATCTTGTCCGTCAGAGGTGATATGAATACCTAGACATGTTACATGAAATAGAGTAAAGGAATAAGAGAATCTAGAGTGAGCCCCAGACACAGCGACATAATTCAGTATGTGTCTAAAGGGCTGGAAGACACAGAGGCAGGAAGTCAGCGGCCTGCGTGGACATTGGTTCAGGGCTCGTCCGAGGGAGCACTCTGCTCACTTCCTGACCAC